TAAACTTAACAATAGTTAAGATGGCCAATGCTCCATTCTGTCCATCAGGTTCAAGAAGAAGTGACCAGCAACATGGCTGCCTGCACCTGCAATTCTCTCCCTCATGACTTCTGTCGTCACTTTGTTTACTATGTAAATCTTTATCATGTGTTACACTCAAACTGGTTTCAAATAAAGTTGTAGTCTGTGTAAAAAAATAAAATCCCCCTAACCTGTTTTAACAGTGGTATTGTAGTGGTTAAAAACAAGTTAAAATGTATTATGTAATAGAATATAGTAGGAGTGTGTGAATTACATATAGATAGTATCTGCAGTAGGTAATAGCTGATAGTTATGTAAGGGAGAGTTAAGCATTTACATAATCCTGCAAGATCTGTTTCTCTGATGATGTTTGGAGACGTTTGTGCATGGAGACCATGGGAACTATGGACTGATAGCTTGCTCACGCAGGAACATTTTGGTTCATGTCCTCTTTGTTTAGTTTATGGGTTCATTTTGTGAATAAACATCCAGAGAAGAGCAGCTTCCCTTAAATGGGAAGCTTGTAAGGGCCAGAAAGAACTGTGAACACTGAAAAAACCTTGGAAAACAATCAACTGGATTGTTTTGGATTTCTAGATCAAAGACATTTCACCTCTCATCCAAGAGGCTTCATCAGTTCTGACTGATTGGTGTTGAGCCGGAGATATTTATCCCCCTTGGTGGTGTTTCAGTCCTTAGAAGGCCAACTATGTCCCTTAACGACTGAGTTGTTGCAGCCCAGTATTGGTGAGAGTCGTTACCTGTCTTTGAAGACAGGGAGACAGGACGGACCTGACTCGACTGAATGGCCAAAAATGACAGACTCTTTGACAATCTTATCTAATACTTTTATTTCTCTGCAGAGATGGTGATTCTGTTCCATATCTTTCAGACTGTTGAACTATTTTCCAAATTATTAAACAGCTCAGAATTATTGTAATAAATAATCAGTGGAATGATTTGCTTGAATTAATTTAGTTCACATCAGACCTTGGCCACTGCAGTGTCCTCACAGGTCTGACTGATGTCCTTATAAACCAGAGGAACCACATGACAGATTTCTGTATCAGCTTTTGTGGCTGTGGAGACCAACGCTGGGTCTGTGAAGGTTTAATGATGTGTGAAGATGGATCAGGTCACATCAGGTTTGTTGTGGTTAAAGGTTTTTAATTCATAGTGAAATATCATCAAACAAGCAAAGTTCTGTACACAAAGTTTGTGTTAGTCTGAGCTGCCAAAACAAGAGTCATAAAGATTTAGTTGTACCACTTTTTCTCCAACACCCATTTGAAGGATTTAAATTAAGCAACTAATTTTATATCCATTACAAACATTCATCAGTATTATGTCATTAATGCACAAGTGTCTGTGTAATTTAACAATGTGTTTGGGATTAATTAATGACTAGTAGTTATAAATAATGGTTGGATGATTACATCATACAAACTGCTGTTATTATGGCATCATGCTCATGTAAAGAGTGATGTGTTCATGTGGGGTTGGTAATAAGTTTCTCATTTGTTAGCACTGTTTACGTCAAGTCTGACTTTTAACCGACCATGTAGTAAACCCCTCCCCTGAATAGTGACTGTCCACTCACAGCTTAGCAGCGGTCAACTAGTCAGCTAATCTGTGTGTGATGGATTTTTGATCGACTTTCTATTAACACAAAAAAATGTATAAGGAATATATTAAACTGTGTTACTAATGTAATCTGAGGCCTGTTAGCTTTTGCCTCAGTCTGTAATAATATGTAGCCACCAGACAACTTTTACAGGGTTCTCATGGTCAAACACATCAGCTGGAAACAAAAACAAAACAAACAAACAAAAAAAAAAATCAGCTGAAGATGAAGTGACCCATGTAGATAATTAATTAGCTACAGCTAACAAAATTCCAGTGACATTATCCAAAGACAGGAGATTCACTTTTTTAAATAAGTTACTTGGTCTATGACTGTGATTTTAAGTAAAATCAATACAAGACAAAATGAGGGCATAATATTCTTACCTTTTAACTCAGTTTTCCCACCTGAGCATTTTAACCATTTCTGCAGTTACAGCAGTCTACCTTTAGAGGGCAGAAGAAAACAAGTGGATCCCAAAGAGTGACAGTCGCTCCCATCATGTGTTTTTAATACATAATGAATAAATGGAATAGTGAGCTGCTGATAATAGTGTTTACAAATGTCTGTTAATGTGGAAACATCCAACCAACCCGGTTGTGAGCATCACCCAGCAGTGAACCAATCAGTAACAGTGGACAAACATTTTGTGTACATCTGAAAAACATTCATATGAGTAAAAACACTGTGATGCCCACCATTTCCAGGAAGCTTCTGTACTCAGGACCACTAGCTGGTGTTTCAAGTCTCTGACCTGGGCTCGTTTCTCTTCACAGTTTCATAGCTTTCATTCACATTTTAATTGCTGTAGAGGCTGTTGTTTACTTCAGCTCTACTTGGTTCCGGTCCAGGCCCGGTCTGAGTGTGGCGAGGGGGCACAGAGCTCTGAGTCAGAGTCCGACTCCCCCTCTGCAATGTAGGACCGGACCGTGGCACAGCGGGTGGCCCCGCCACTG